ACTTCCTGGCGTGAGGACACCGAGCCTCCTGTCGGGGAGCAGCCACCATGCACACCTCACTGCCACACAGGGTCTCACAGTCACCAGCCCCCGCCAGCCCTGGCCGCTGTCCCAGTGAGCAGACTCTTCACACTCCGAGGACGGTGACCCTGCCTGGGGCAGCTCAGAGGGAGCCTCACTGCTCCGTGTGCTCTCAGCGCTGTCACCTTTCACAGTGCTTTCTTCACTCAGGACAAGGACGTGCTTGCACCTCCCCAGGCCCCATAATTTGGAGAATGATGTCTTCCAAGTGGTGGTGAAGCCCAGCAGCCTTCTCCTTCTCCTGAGGTCCAACACAGGGCATTGGGTGGGCCGAGCTTCTGTAGCCCAAACCAAGCCCTAAGTCCTGAAGGGAGCAAATGAGAGAAGAGCAGGAACAGCAGGAACAGCCACTTTCCCTGGATGTGCGCACCAACGCCTGTCACTGTTACTCTGCACAGATGAGCATTCTGACGGTGAAGATCACACAGAAAGGAAAGACCTACATGTGGGGCACGACCTGCCACAGCCCCTTAACCCAGGGCTGCACTCCCCTTAGCCACAGCCAAGACCCCCAGAGCAGGGAAGCCCAGCAGAACTCTCAGCCCACAGGACAGTATGTGAACAGCTGGGGTGACTTCCTCCAGAGCAGGTGACAGGAGTCATCCCTCAGATCCCAAAGGGGTTAAAGAGAGAACTGGCAATCGGAGCACAGGAAGGAGCTTTCATTTATTTTGGGAGCTGGATCAGCCAGTGTTCTGTTACTGTAGCAAAATACTCAAGACAGCAGTGTAGAAAGAGGAAACACTGATGAGGAGAGAAGTCCCTCCACCTCCTATTGCTGCACAAGGAGCAATCAGGCGCTGGGTCTCCATGGATGATCTCCCTCTCAGAATGCAGCCATGTGCACCTCTAGACCAGGAGGTGTTTCTGGAGTCTGGGAAGACTCTCTTAAGTAAACACTCCTTTAAAAATGGCCCAGGAGTGGCACTCCAAGGAGGTTCTCAGGAAACAAGGATCCCAGTTGGAGTCGGCCTCTGAGGCCATCAAGGACAGAGCCCACATCTTTTCTTTAATGATGGGGGCTCTTACCATATGGGAAGGTTTGGGATCAAGAAAGAGCTCAGACCCGGGCTGAGATTTCTCCAGGGAGCTTCGGGTGCTGAGCCTGCAGAAGCCAGAGTCCAATGCTGGGAGGGGCTGTGCCTTTTTGGTGGGTCCACAGAGGCGGGGACCCTGAGGCAGTGCTGCCTCTGACTTTTCACTTCCGTTCATCTGCGTGTCATGCAGCGCTGAGGTCTTCTCTCTCAGAGCTGGAGCAGTCAGAGTAGGCGACATGAAGCCTACCGTGCCTGTTCTGCTGTGCCTAGGTCAGTGCTGGGAGGAGGAGGGGACCAGGCTGGGGTGGGGAGAGGGGAATCAGCTGAGGCACCAGATGGAACCTCTGACATCACAGAAATCTCTCTTCCAGGGCTGAGTCTGCCAATGGGGCTGCAAGGACCCGCAGGTGAGTCCTCCCCAGGCCCCGTGTCCTGCCCTATCCTCAGCCCCTGGGCCTCACTGGGGGGACACAGGCTTGGGCCGAGGGTGAGGAACTGGGAGAGGCCTTGGAGTGATGTAGGGCACGGAGAAGGTCCTGGGCTCAGCCTCTGACTTCCTTGCAGGGAGCCTCCCCAAACCCACTCTGTGGGCCCAGCCAGCATCTGTGAGGCCCAGGGGGAGTTCCGTGAGCATCTGGTGTCAGGGCATGCTGGGGGACCACAAGTACGGTCTGTACAGGGAAGGAAGTTCGAAGATCTTGGAACTATCAACCTCACTCCACGTAAAGGTCAATTTCTCCATCCCATCCATGAGAGAAGATGATGCAGGGCGCTATCGCTGTTACTATCGCAGCTCTGCCGGCTGGTCAGGGCACAGTGAGCCCCTGGAGCTGGTGGTGACAGGTGAGAGGACACTCAGTGTTCATCCCCTAGCTCTATCCTCAGCAAGCAGTCTATTCGCAGGGGCGTCCCGCTCACACAGCCCAGCCCTAAGGAAAATGTGGAGAGTCCATTTCACACGCTGCCTCCTTCTCTCCTAGGAGTCTACAGCAAACCCAGCCTCTCAGCTCTGCCCGGCCCTGAGGTGACCTCAGGAGGGAGCGTCACCCTCCAGTGTGGCTCAAGGCTGCCATTTGACAGGTTCGTTCTGACTAAGGAAGGAGGAGACAAGCTCTCCCAGACACTGGACTCACAGCGAGGCCCCAGTGGGCAGGCCCAGGCCCTGTTCCCTGTGGGTCCCATGACCCCCAGGCAGAGGTGGACGTTCAGATGCTACGGCTGTTACCGGAGCCAAGCCCTGGTGTGGTCGGAGCCCAGTGACCCCCTGGAGCTCCCATTCTCAGGTGAGCGAGGCTCAGCGTTTCCTTTAATGACAGGAACTCTGACTCAGAAACATTGGAAGCACCTGGTGGCGAGCTGGGTGAGGGGCCGAGGGATGCTGAACTCAGTGACAGAATGTGGGGCTCAGTAAGACCAGAGACGTGAACCTGGATGAGACAGGGGAAGTACAAATCAGAAGGTCCAGAAGGGATCTGTGTGCTGGCGGCTCCTCGGTGTCTTCTGCTCATCCCTGATCAGCCTTAAAGTCGGCTCCATGCAGGACTCACTGTGCACAGTCAGAACACACCACCCCTTTTCACCTGCCTCCTTGCAGGGATCCAACCAAAACCCCAGCTGCGGGCTCAGCCAGGCTCTGTGGTACCACGGAGGAGTCCTGTGACCCTGTGGTGTGAGGGGACCCTGGAGGCCCAGCGATACCATCTGTACAGAGAGGGCAGCCCGGCATTCTCAGTCACACAGACCTCACCCGAGCCCCGGAACAAGGCCAGGTTCTCCATCCCGTCCATGACAGAAGACGATGCAGGAAGATATCGCTGTTACTATCGCAGCTCTGCTGGCTGGTCACAGCACAGTGAGCCCCTGGAGCTGGTGGTGACAGGTGAGGGGACACTCAGGGTCCCAGCACCAGGCTCTGCCCTCAGGAAGGGCTCTGCTCTCAGGGGAGTCCCCCTCTCACTGCCCAGCCCTGGCGACAGCGTGGGAGGTGGGAGTGCATTTCCCACGCTGCCTCCTTCTCTCCTAGGAGTCTCCAGCAAACCCAGCCTCACAGCCCTGCCCAGCCCTGAGGTGACCTCAGGAGGGAACGTCACCCTCCAGTGTGGCTCAAGGCTGGGATATGACAGGTTCGTTCTGACTAAGGAAGGAGGAGACAAGCTCTCCTGGACCCTGGACTCACAGCGAGGCCCCAGTGGGCAGGTCCAGGCCCTGTTCCGTGTGGGCCCTGTGACGCCCAGGCAGAGGTGGACATTCAAATGCTATGGCTGTTACACTAACAAACCCCAGTTGTGGTCAAATTCCAGTGACACCGTGGAGCTCCTGGTCTCAGGTGAGGAAGTCCTTTCTTTTCCCAATCATATTTGAGTCGTGAAACAATTGACAGGGGCCGTACTATAGAGGATCCTAAGAGGAGGTTGGGTCAGGACATCTACAGAGCTGGAAACCTCAATGTGACAGTCAGGGAGACCCGCAGGGCAGGGCAGGAGGGCAGGGGCATGGCAGGATCCAGCCCCTCAGCCCGGCTCCTCCTCCCTCCAGGGCGGTCCAGGAAGCCCTCCCTCCTGACCCAGCAGGGCCCTGTCCTGGCCCCTGGACACAACCTGACCCACCACTGTCGCTCTGACCTCAACTATGACAGATTTGCTCAGTCCATGGAGGGGGCACGTGACCTCCTCCAGCGCTCTGACCAGAAGCCCCAGGCTGGGCTCTCTCTGGCCTCCTTCCCCCTGGAAGATGCTACAGTGGACACCGGCTGTCCTCTGAGTGGTCGGCCCCCAGTGACCCCGTGGACATTCTGATTACAGCAGAGGAGCCCAGGGTCAGTCGGGGAGCACACTGTACACAGGCCCTGCTGGGGAGCCAGGAGGTGACGGCCAGGGTGAAGGTGGGGTGTGAGCGAGAGAGAGGGACTGAGAGACAGGGGCAGCCCGGAGGGGCAAGTTCAAAGGAAACAGACAGGTAAAGCAGAGGGCAGAGGTCCATCCCTGGGGCAGCCCAGCCCCCCATCCCTCAAGTCCTCATTCCCAGGGTGAGCCCCATCCCCACCCCAGCATCCAGCTCCCCAACAGAAGCCTCCGGCTTGGTCCCAGTGTCCTGCGTCCAGGCTGCCTGGAGACTCTCAGCCCATCTCAGTCTTCATTCCAGTCTTGGCTCCGCTGGTGTCAGGGGACAGAGAGGTGGGAAAGGAGCTTAGATGTCCAGAGGTTCAGTATGCGGGCTGCATGGGTGGTTTCAAAGCTGAGGGAGATGTTGGGGTCGAGCTTGGGAGAGGAGCAGCAGCTGAAGTGGGGAGCAGGGAGCCCAGCCCCTCACCTGCTCATCCCTGAGAGGAAACCCTGAGCATCAGCCCCTCACACCAGAATCCAGATCCAGGGTGGTGAGTGAGGGCGCTGCTGGGAGGGTCTGGGGCGGGGCGGGGCTGTGGGGCGTCTGCAGCCTCCTCTGGAGACTCTGACTCGGACCAGCCCCTCCTGTGCGGGCCTCAGTTTCTCCAGGTGTAAATGGAGACCTGGCCCCAACCTTCAAGTTCCTTTTGGTGCGGACCTTGCTGTGAGCCCTGGAGTGGGGCCTCCCCGGGGAAGCCTCCAGCACCCCACACTACAGGGGTCCTGTCACCAGTGCTGGTGACAGTGCGTAGGGAGGGCATAGGGCCAGAGCAGGGTGTCCAGGCTCCTTCCCTCCAGGTCAGGAGGCTCAGCTCGGCTGGGGAGAGCAGGGCCGGAAGCCCAGCCCCCAAGTTCATCCCCATCTGGGCTTCTTGTTGGTTCCCTGGAATGTCAGCCCCCTGTCTCAGTCTCCTCTCCTCCGCGGTGACCTGCAGGCGTGTGCAGGACTGTGAGGGTGTGAGGTGGGGAATGCGAAGACCCCACGTGGGCTGCGCACACCACGTGCTCAGTGAAATAGCAATTTCTCTCTTTAAGGCAGCTCTCCAGGCCCAGAACCGCCAGGGAACTATAAGGCTGTGATCTGGGTCTCCATGTCCTCCTTCCTGCTGCTGCTCCTCCTCCTCTTCTTTCTCTACTGGCGCCAGGGAAGAAGCAGGAAGGCAGGTGAGTAGGGACAGTGGGACCTGAGCCTCAGAAAGTGGTGAGTGCCGTGGTCCACAGGGAAACCTGTCGGAGGGGAAAAGTCTGCACAGAACCTCCTGTGCAGAAGCCAGCGGAGAGAACCCAGAGCAGAACACATGACCCTGTCCCTGTAGGGGTCTCCAGTGTGGTCTGAGCTTCTCCTCCTCAGGCCGCATCGGCTCCCTGGTCCCTGTGGTCCGAGGCTTCCTCCTGCCCTGCAAGGCCTGCGCATCGGGTGGTTTTCACCTCCTGGCTGAGACTCTGTCCATCTCCCAGTTCAGAGAGAGGCGACTTCCCAATTCCTGCAGAGGCTTCAAGGCCAGCTCCTTGGGACAGAGGCCTGCAGAAGAGGTCATTTCTGCCCAAGGACCCAGATCCCCTGCCTGCTGCTCTTCACAGCCACTAACACCCTCTTGTCCCCCCAACTCCAGCCCAGCTGCTGCCACCCCAGAAGAAGCCCTACATGAGAGGAAGAGGAGTGTGGGGTGGAGACACTCCAAGTTCTCAGCATCACAGGGGCAGGGGGAGGCTGGGGCTCAAGGTTGAGTCAGACTGAACCCAGAAACCAAGCCTGGGGCATCACACAGCTGCCTGGCTCTGTGTCCCCAGCTGGACAGAGCAGGGCCTGCGGGGCTGAAAGACCCCGGGACACTGGCCACGAGGTGACCCCTCTTCTGTCCCTGCAGATGCCACAGTGAAGAACACAGAGCCTGAGGATGGGGTGGAGCTGGACGCTCAGGTGAGACCCCCCCATCCAGGGCACAGGGACTTCCTGTCCCCCAATTCAGTGCAGGGCGCTGCTCTGTCCTCCACCACTCAGGTCTCGGAGATCTCACAGCTGCGCCTCCCTTCTGGAAGCCCCGGCCTCTGCCTGCTGTGACCCCACCCTCTGCTGGTTTCCTGTGACTTGGGGTCCCCTCCCTCTGTCCCCTTCCTGGCCCTCAGCCTCAGTCTGCCTGTTCCCTGCTCCAGGTCTCAGAAGGACACTGAGTGAATGAGCACCCCACACCCCCGAGGCCCCTCCCTCATTCATGCAGCGTTCGCCGGGGCGGGGGGGGGGGTTGTCTCCCTCCTGACCTGGCTCCATGGGGCTGCAGATACAGCAGTGAGCACAGACCCTCCTGCCCTGAGTCACCTAGAGGTGGGAGGCCAGTGTCAGGAGAGCACAGAGCTGTGGAAGAAAATAAAGCAGAGAAAGGGGTGAAGGGGCAGGAGGGCCAGTGAGAATCATAGGTGGGACTCTGGTAAAGTGACCACTGAGCAAAAGCCTGCATGGAGAGGGCCACGTGGATCTCTAATGCATCAGCACTGTAGGCAGAGCCCATGACAAGTGCAAAGGTCCTGAGGCAGGGATAGGTTCTTTCAGGAAGATGGGCCATGTGGCTACAGCCCTGGGAGCAAGGTGTGAGTGTCAGGACGCGAGGGAAGCACTACAGGAAGGAAGCAGCCAGACCTCCGAGGGCTTAGGAAGCCCCTGAAGGTCCATGAGGAAGGGACAGAGTGTGGTCTAATTTCTAAAGGATCCCTGTGGCTGCCCTGTGGGAAACTGGCTAGAGGAGACCAGCGTGGAACCAAGGAGACCCCGTCTCTGTCTCTGTCTCCCTGCTGCAGAGCCCACCTGCTGAGGACCCCCAGGGAGTGACATACGCCCAGGTGAAGCACTCAGCACCCAGGAGGAGAGGGGCCTCCCCTCCTCCGGCCCTGTTGGGGCGGCTCCTGGACACCAAGGATGGACAGGCAGGGGAGGACAGGCAGATGGACACTCAGGTAGGTCCTGCACCACCCTGGCACTAGGCTTCTTCCTGGGCCAAGCACGAACCTCCCTTCTCCCCTCTCTCTTGCAGATTGCTGCCCCTGAAGGTCCCCAGGACGTGACTTATTCCCACCTGTGCAGCTGGAAGGTGAGACAACAGGCAGCTGCACCTCCTTCCCCCCAGAACAGGACCTTCCCGGCAGAGCCCACTGTGTACGCTGCCCTGGCGTCCACTCATGCAGGAGATCTCCCAAAGAATACTAAGTGACGCGTTGGCCGGGGACACCCAACAGAGACTCCAGAGATTCCGGGACCTTCTAAGACTCACCTGACTGCGGTCAGAGAGAGCTCACACCTCTGTGTGCTGGAAATAAAACCAGAGGTTCTCCAATACCCACCGAGTGAATGAGAAATGGACTCGTGGGAGAGGATGTGTGAAGTGACTGATAATGTTAATGACAGCAGACACAAGGCAGGTAGGAAATGAGAAAATGAATCACCATGGATGAATATATCAGCAAACACTCTGTAAAAATCTTTGAATAAAGATATCAAACAAAAATTTTAAAAAGTATGTGAAATCACTCAAAATAAGGTAAAAGAAAAATTAATAATATGAGCTACTAATGAGGGCTTAAGAAGAGTTGACACACATTTCAACATCAGAAAATAGCAGACATTAAGACAGATTGCACATGTGTTTCACAGAGATAACAGCAGGATACAATGAATAATTTTATGCCAACATGTCACAAACCGTAGATGAAATGGATGAAATCCCACAGACACAAATTACTAAGTGCAAATAAAGATAAACAGAAAACCCAAATCATCTCGTGTGTATTGAGTACTTTGACCCTATGGTAAAACACTTCCCCATGCTAACTCTAGTTCAATAATCTTTGCTGGTGAGTTCTCCAGTTTCATGAAATACATCAAATTACCAACTTCCACAGGTATTTATTGCAAATGGTAAGAAAGAAAATATAGCCCAATATATTTTTATCAGAACAGGAAAGTAATTATACCAAAACATGACAACAAAACTATAAAATGGGAAAGTCACATGCAGAACTCTCACATCAACCCAGATTTGAGTCCCTAAAAATAACCCTTCAGTCAAACATGGCGGCCCTCGCCTGTCATCTCAGCTTCTCTGGAGGTAGAGGCTGGAGGGCCCAAAGCTTGCACCCAGCCTGAGAAACTCAGAAACATCCTGCTGGAAAATAAATCAAAAAGTGCTGGGGATGTAACATAGTGCTCTCTGGGTTCAGGGTATTTGTTTGTTTGTCATTTGAAAGGTAGGCATAGTTTAAAATTTAAAAGTACGTGGACATAACAGGACACATTAACACTACTCATAAGAGTTATCCTATCAACAGGTGTAGAGGAGCATTTCATAAATCATTCATGATAAAAATAAAAAGTCTTCACACTGAGGGAAAATTTGCTACCATTTACACAGGTTGTTTAAAAGTCCCTAACCCTCCTCATACCATGACACCTTGACGTCTGCCCCCAGGCGGGGAACAGCCCGAGGGTGCTCCCTGTGGGCTTCTCTTCAGCACAGCCGGTTACACAAGCGCGGCTGGAGAGCGCGGGTGTGGGTGAGCAACACACTGCATCACTCACAGCCAGACAATAGAGTGAATGGGACATAAAATGACACAAAGTCGCCTTACTCAAGTCAAAAAGGGGCATTTTCAACATCCCTGGGATCCTAGGCCAATATGTCAGGATCAACTGCACATCAAATGTCCAGCTGTGGACCAAAAAATAAAGTGGAAGGATGTCTCCCCACTCCTTTACACAACGAGACTGATTTGGACACGTGACCTCTCATGTTGTAAGGTAATATGTTTGCATTGATTTCACTATTGATTTTGTGGTCATTTGTTATAGCAGCACATAAGAAACACATACCACCACACATTTTTTCAGCGTTGATATTAGTATTACATAGTACTATGTGTTCAGGGCCAAAATTGGGCTCTGGGAGTTCCAGGCCGGTGTGTGTCTTGCCCAGAGAATGCAGAGGTATGGGGAAGATCTACCCCGAGTCATGATGGGAAGACCCACAGAACTGTGACACTCTTGGGGGCAAGATGAGATCCACTAACAATGTTCTGACCACAGGAAATGATGCTATAGGCACAATGCGTTCTTAAGGAAGAAAATACAGGTTACCCACTAACCTGTTCCCTGTTCTTCATGCTTGCTTTGTTCCTTATCTTACTAAACCGCTTTGACCACTGCCCCGCTGTTCCCTGAACCCATCACCACCCACCTTTGTGCCTGCAGTTGATAAACAAAAGGAGGCCAACCGAAAGGCCTCTGTATTTGCCTAGCCTGAGGCAAGGAACTCCCCGACCCTCTGTACTTTCAAAAATTTTCTTTACCTTCTTTATCCCTCACCATGCCCTGAGCAGTCACCTGGGACCTTATCAAACTCAGTAAAGTGGAGGTCAGGACAGGGACCACTGAGGCCTGTGGAGAAGATGACCCGTCCCCCAAGTCGGGCTGAGCACACGAGGTGAGGAGGGACTCTGTGGGAGGAAGTCATCTGCAAGAAAATGAAAGTAAGCACTGGGCATCACAGAAAAGTTTCCTTAGTACAGGATAATGGGGCAGAATTTGTCAGCAGATCAATAAAATTAGTTTTAGTTATTGTGTATGTTATTAAGTCAGGCCGGAACTCAGGTCAACATCCACAAACAGGCAAAAATATTACCGTGGCATGGAGAAGGGAACCAAATCTATGCCATTTTGAACGCTGGTGCCATTTTAAAGCTTAAATTTCTATTTCCTTAAGTCTGTTTCTTGTAAATGTTGTCATAGTTGCCCAACCCAATACCAGCCCAGGCTTTGTACACCCTGCCTCCCACCGCTAAGGGAAAGTACAAACACCTTTGTCACAGTCTAAGCCCATGCTTTGTAGGACTGTTTCTGTAGCTGCACCGAATCATACCAGCGAAAACCTAACCACCCCCTTTAGACCCGGAACTAAGGCTGTGTAAATTTTCCTCCCTCCTGACCTTCCGTGCTGGTGCCCAGTGTCTTGCTGGACCCTGACAGCAGCTGAGAAGTCTGCTTGTCTCTGCACTCGGCCTCCACGGGTGACTGGGTTAGCTACATGCACTTGGTGCAACAACAGGAAACCATTAAATGTAACCCATGGTTCTGCAGGCAGGACATGGACATTGAGTATTGGGATAAGGTGGGTGAAATCATAAAGAAGGCTCCTGCTTCTGTGAAGAACAAAGCTCCCCCCAAATTTTTTTAGGATGGAGCTTAGTAAGATCAGTTTTGGGTCCACTATGTACAAGTACATGGGGTGCTCTTGTTCCCACCACAGAGTAAGGGGAAGCACTTAGAAATGTGGGTCACATGGCGGCCACAGCTCCTTCTTACCAGAGGAGGACCTGGAGGCTGAGGCAGAAAGAAAAGAGACCCCCTGGCCTGCTCCCCCTGACTATCTCAAGGTGAAACCTGCAGCCCTTTGTTGTCTAAGTACCAACAGCTCACACAGGAGGCTACTATGGTGAAGGTATTGTTGGGCCACGCTGCTTCCCTGTTATAATCAGACCTGACCCTGATACTCAACAGTGAACAACACATGAGCACTGATGAATTGAGTACAAAATTCTTCAGCAACTGAAGTGGAGCGTTATGAATAATAGAATTCAGGGACCATTCGTGCTGGGACCTTTGGATTCAGGTTCGGGAGCTTTATATCTGGATCCACAGGAAGTCAGACACCTCGCTCACTCCTGCTTGTCAGCTGCTCAGGGTCTTTATTTCAGGGTTGAATTACAGAAGCTGTGCCTCAGGAAGCTGCTAGGAATAAATGAGGAAACAGAGCAAACATCACTAGGAAATGTTATTGGGAACAGGACCTTTTGCAGTTTAGGGAGTGCTTGAAACAAAACCATTTAGGTCCAGAGAAAAACAGCTTGCCTGAGACAATTCCAGTCATCAGTTGCTAGGCAACCCTGTGTCTTGTGACACTAACTTTGTCAAAAGTATAAAGAAGTTCCCCTACTGCTCTTGTCCAGTGCCTCTTCTCCCATCTGGAAAGAGGGATCCACCTGACCTCAGCTTTCATCTCTTATCTTTTTTTTCTAAATCCCCTCACCATTTTTCCCAGGACCATGGAGAGCTATAAAGGTCATTGAATTACAGACTGTGCACAGCACTTATCCTAGTAAAGCCATGAGTAAATTAGCCTGTTAATGAAAAGAGCTTTGGTTACTGTGCCTGAGGATGGGATGCCAGTACAGTCCTCTCTACATATTTTACAGGGCTCCAGGGAACCATATACTCAATTTACTGCCAGATGGCAGGAGGTAGTCCATAGACAAGGCCCCTGTTTGCAGGCAGCAGATATCATTGTTCTTCAACTTGCTTTTAAAAATGCCAAATAAGATTATAAACAGGACTTAGGACCAGTCAGGGCCCGTGAAAACTTAGGGAAATTATTTAAAACCCTGTCATGATATGTGCACCGAGTCCTATAAGAGCTCAATGATAGCACAAGCCATATTAAGCTGTACAAAGGGGATAAAAAATATGAATATTAAATGTTTTAATTGTGGAGAAATGAGATGCCTCTGAAAACAGTGCACTGCCTGCATTTGATGTGGAAGCTCATTCATATCTGCCAGTGAGGGATGCAATAATCCTCCCAGGGAGGATACAGAGAGTCAGCTCTGGATCCGTGACCCGCTGTGAGCAGGAAGGCAATTGGGCAAGATCTTGCCCTTCTAAGTATCATAAGGTTGGAACCTCTCTTTTAGACAATGGGAGTCAAGCACAGGTCTAGGCTCCCCAAATAACAGGGGGCACCCTCACCATAAAACGGAACCTCTGCCAAGATTATCCCATGCAAACCTTCAGGCAGATCTGGATTCCCAGGGAGACATTGTATCCTTCAGTTATGGGACTCCAGAAAGCACAGGGTTAGATCTTCCTGGGGGCCAAAGAGTAACTCTCCATGGGGGAGATAAGCCTCTATGGACACCTACTAGAATTTGGGTGCCACTGCCTGAGAGCACTATTGGTTTATTTATGGGCCACTGTAGTTCCAACTTAAAATGCATAACTGTAATGCCTGAGATAATTGATCCTGATTATAAAGGAATTCAAATTCTGTAGATATTGGGTTTTTAAACTAGGTGATTACATTGTTCCATTAAAATTACTCTCAGCAACAAAACCTTCTTTCATAGGTTTTAGGAAACAACAAAGAAGAAAGGGAAACTCCACAAGTACCTCTAAGAGGGGAATTCATTTCACTCAGGAATTCACAGAAGAAAGACATTTGTGTACTATTAAGATAGGAGGAAAATACAATCAGGGCTTAGTCAACACGGGCGCTGAGTCCATGATAGCTGAAGAAAAACGACCCTCTTCTTGGCCTGTTATAATGGCTACAACCTCATGGGTGAGGTTTGGGTCACCCGAGCAAGCGTTACAAAATGCAACTCCTTCATTTTATCTAGAGGCAGAAGCACAGGTTAGAACTTTCCAGCCTTACATAGCTCCCACACCAGTAAACCTATGGGTGAGGGA